ATTATTTAGAATAAAAAACAAGAAGATTAATATATTAACAAGACTTCTTTGTAAGATAATAGTAAATATTAGAATTGAAGCCAATTAAAAAAAATGAATCTAATCAAAATACTAAAACCAAAAACAGAAAATACACTATATGATTAATCAAGTTTTTGATAAGAAATAAATAAGACAAGAGAAGTTCACTATATTTTAAGAAAACTTAGTATAAAAAGAGCTATAGTAATAAAATATATAATAAACAGTTTATTAATATTTAAAGGACTAAATAAAAAAAAACTAGAAATATATACAATCAGATATATTAAAATAAAGAAAAAGAAATTCAGATATACTTAATAAATTGTAATAGACAAAAAAATTTGTGAAAATAGATTAAAAAATAGTAAAAACAATAATATAAAATAAGCTCAAAAAGAAAGAAAAAAATAAATTCTGTTATAAGTATTATACAAGTCATTATTTAGAGAAACAAAAACAAAAGAAATTATAAATAGAAAAGTATTAATAAAGAAACTTATTATTCTAAAAATATGAGAAAGACTTAAACAGGTATTAAATAAGTAGACAATACAAAGATATATAGATGAATAATAAAAACAGTATGAAACATCTTTTATAACCAAGTATAAAGAATTTGATACAAAAAGATATAAAAATAGAAAAAAAAATTTAATATAATAAATAAAATAAAATATTTGTATAAGAAGAAAGTTAATAAAAAAACAAATAAATAAATAAATAAACAAAAGAAGAAAAAAAAGAAAAATAAATAAAAAGATAAATTAAATAAAAAAAGAAGTTTAGAAAACAATTAATATACTTGTTATTAAAGAAAAAAGACTCTTTTAGTATAACTTTAAGTAGTTAAATAAGCAGTCTATTTTAACTAAAATAATATAACAAATTACACTTAGATATTATTAGAATAACTAAGTAATACTAGATTTAAATATTAAAAATTTTATATAATTATATATGTATATAGTTTTAAGAATTATAATAAAATACTAATATAACTATTTAAGATTAAAAAAAAACTATAATATGGATATTATTTTTTAAAATTCTGTATTATTTTATAATAATTAACAATGATTTTTGTAATTTATTATAATTAAAAAGAATTTTGCAGTTTTTTGTAAATTATAACAAATTAGTTTCTATAATAAAGTATTAAAAAACTCTAAAAAATTACTTATAAAATATTAAAAAATCACTTGTAAAATATTAAAAACAGTATTAGTAAAACATCAAAAAAACATTAACAAAATATTAAAAAAAATATTACTAAAATATTAAAAAAAATTATAAATTAAAAAAAATTAATAAAAAAAATTCATATAATAATTTGTATAACCTATATGCATTATAGACATCAATTGATTTATGTTTTCAGAACTATCAAATTAATAATTATACTATATTAACAACTCTTTATAAAAGTTATAATCTAATATTATTTATATTTAATTTTTAATAAAATTTTTAAAATATATTTTTTTATATCTAAAACATGTTTATTATAATAAAATCATATGTTTAATTATTATTAAAATCTTTATTATAATTTTTTAAGCAATTTAAATCTACATTTTATTAGTGTTAGGATCCAGATATTAATTCAGATATCCAGATTGACATCTGCTACTAAAAATAATTATCCAAATATCTTTCATAAATATAATATTATAATCCAAATATCCATTCGGATATATCCGGATGTATGAATATGTGATCTCACACTTATTAGTGATATGTACTTAAATGTTATATAATTTTATATATAACTGCACATATTTATTCCTTTGTATAGTATTTTTGGATATTAGTTAATTAATCTTGATATTTTTGAAAAAGACTATGATACTATATACAGTATTTTATATAACTGTTATCATAAATTCTTGGACAAAGATAATAAAAATTAGGTAATAGCTATTTGGCCAAATTTATTAAGTTTAGCTTTCGGTACTATAGTATTTTACAATGCATATTTTGGTTAAAAATAATATAGAACATAGTCTTATCACTATGGTTCATAAGATATTAAGGCAAAGATTCTATTTTATTATTACTATTACTAGCTAAATATAATATTTCAAAGCATAATTGCTACATGATTTAACAAAAATTTAGATTATTGTCATTTGAATAACTACTTAAAATTTTAGCAAGTTGAATTCTTGTGTATTAAAGAATTTTTATACTTTTAGAAAACCACATTTTTATTAAAGTCTAACTTATATTCAAAGCCTACTGACTATCATATCGACCAAATAATATTGGTTAGTTATCTCAGAATTTATAAGAACAGCTATAATTTTTATTAGTTGCTTCAAGATTATGAGAACAGCTGTAACTCCTTATTAATTTTAAATATAATCAATATATAATTCTCTGATTATCTATATGAATATTACTAAAGATTGTAGTGTACTACTGTAGTAATATAACTACAGGAAATGCATTAATACTTATTAATTTTAATTATTTTCTCTAAGTCTCAATAAGATGCAAAATTCAAAAGCAATTAGCATTTATTATACTAGTATGATCACGTTTCATATGTAATATGAAATGTGGAGAGATAGTTCCATTCAACTTTTTGGTCATGGCAGGAGTAATGTTTTTCATTTATCCATTTTTGGAAAGAGGTATGGTTTTTAACTTTTATTATTTTTCTGAGATTTACACTTTCATTAAGGCTTCATTATTTCATTAGATTTTGCTATTTTTTTTTTTTTTGAGCTTGGGTATTGTCTTTCACTGTCTGCATAAATAATTTCGCTTAACAACTGTAGTTTTTATTTAATTACAATTAATTCATTACAATTACTTCAGACACATCACATTTCACCAACACTCATTTCGCCAATAAGCATATTTACAGATAATTAATCTACAGATAATTTTATTTTATGGACAATATATTTTACTGGCAGCTCATTTCACAAATTAATTTCGGTCATTGTTATTAGGATTAGATTTATAATTAGTTAAGTAAAATAAGCTGTTGGTGAAATATATTGTATATGAAATAGCTTATATGTAAATTAATCATTTGTACAATAAGCTTTTCGGAAAAATGAATGTCGATGAAATGTAGTGTCTTTAAAGTTCAAATTTTTTTATGATAAATGATAATTATCAGAAGCTACAGTAATTTGGGAAGAAATAGTCATTCTAATCTTTATAGTATTTCATTAGATACAGATATTTTCTGGTTGATTGCATAGCAGTGCAAGAATCTAAGTTTGGTGATTAGGCCTTCTGACTATGATAATAATGCAAGGATCTCAGGTTTGGTGATGGTTTGAACATATGAATAATTATACTGGTCCTGCACAGCATCACATACTGTGTAGCTACCTTATAGGTAATAATTAGTAATAATATATATATGTAAGTATTGAGCAAAAAATAAGTATTTATTACTTACATTATTGCTTTGCCTATTATTAATTATTATCATTTCTGATCCTGTTTTATTTATGAGCTGATATCTCATATAGACAAGTTACACTAATGATTTATATATATCTATGCTTATTTAAAGATTATAATTCTGAAATCTTCAAGTATAAACTATTTGTTTAAGGTACTATTAAAGTAATTTTTATATAAATACCATAAAAGTGAATAAAGAGTAGGCTAAATAAAACAAAGCTGAAAGCTATAGGAATTCAAAACATGTTAGTCTCATTTATATGCTAACTATAATATATATTTTTTATCAAAATCTACATACTTTCATTTTTTTGAGGTCTCTAATGTAAAAAGGGATATTTAAAATCTTTTTATTGTAGTTTGCAAAATTTGATCATTAAAACAAAGTAATTACTAATTTCTGATTAATAATATCTGATTTTTTCAATATTTTTTTAACTTTTAGATTAGACAAAATTTGTGCATTTATCATTTATAAAAATATTTTAATGTGCAATTTATTTCTATAAAAAATAATAAAATTCTTACAAAATAATGCATGCGCAAATTTTATCTAATCTAAAAGTCAATAAGAAATTAGAAATCAGTAATTAGAAATTAGTGATTACTTTTTTTTAATAATCAAATTTTATATAATTTTGTCAAATAACAGCTAGTATTACCAAGATAATCACTTTACTATAGAAGAATTTAATCAAAAAGTAAAGACTTTGTCTGTTACAATTGTTACAGAAATCAATAACATTTAAAGCTAAGTAGTTAGTATCTAATTTCTTTATTTTTATTTTACTATAGTATGCTTATTGACTATAATAACTGCTTTTTTAGTTTAGTATAACAGAGTTTCAATTACTATTACTATAAAATGCCAGATATAAAACCCTAATGATAGTAAATACACTATGTAGTATACTTGGATGCGAATCACAGAATCTATATTAATCAAGTCTGAACTTTTTTCAAATATCTAGACTATTTATTATAAATGAAAAATGCACATATTCTTCAAAATTTTTTTCTTAATGATATAAACTCTTAGCTGCATACTAGATCTGGGCCTATTATAGGGTTTTAAAATTGGTGAAATGTATAAGACCCAGATCTTGTATCTGGTGCTTTACAGTAGTCTTTATCTTGAATCACAGTTATTATTATAGGATCACGATTCAAGTAGTTAATTAATATAGTAGTGATAATAGTCATTTACAAGTAAATTATTTCAACATTTTATAATAATCACAGAAGCAAGAAAAGACATTACAATTTATTATCAAATGAATATTTATATAAGCAATATGTTATTTGAATAGCAATAACAAATTTATAAAATTTTACTCAATTCTTGGCCAAATATTTTCCAAGTAAGTTGAGTTTCTCTTTAAAAATAATATACATTCAAATAACAATGATCCCAAATTTGTTCTATAAGTACTTATTATAATTCCAGCATTGGAAAAAAGATGCTTGCTAGATGTAGACATAGCTTGCATAGCCAAATATTCATAAGCAAAAGAAGCTAAAACAGGAAAGTTGTCTTTATGCGCAGCCTACCAAGTACAAGCATTCAATTCTATATTAATCTCATTAAGCTGAAAATAATTTTCAACTTCTTCATTATTTTGAGAAAGTAAACAAAATTTTTTTTTAAGAGATTTAGTAGATAATTCATCGTCTAAATTATATAATTCAACAATATCTGTTAAATTTGTTTGTAAAGTTTGTTGAGAATCTTGAGTATATTTATTATTATATATATTTTTTAAGATATCCATAACAAACTTGCAATTAAAAGAATATGCAAATTCAAGTTTTTTGTGACGTGGATTCAACAATGTAGGTAGTAAATCATTATTGGCTAGAGAATTCCAATATGCTTCAAGAGATTTGTACAATGCCACCTGTACTTTTTTTCCCAAATTATCACAATTTTGTGGAATATTGATATTTATTCTATAAGATTTTGAAATTTCAAACTCTTCTTCATCTTCATATTCGATCTCATCATCAAAAACCATTTTTAAGTTTTCCAAGTTAACCAAACTTGGTGTATTATAAAATTGACAATCTTCATTATACAAATCTTGCTTAATATCTACCAGGGTTGGACTAACAAATCCAATCATTGATATTTTGCTTGCACCTAAATAAGTTAATGCTTTAGCAAATGGACAAAGAATAATTACTAATTCTTTTAATGCATTTCATTCTGAATCAGTAAGCATTATTTGATGAAGACATTTTGTCTTTTTTCGCATTTGAGGGTCATTAGTTTGTGCAATTATTACCTTTACCATATTTATTGCATTTTGTAAATGCAAAAGATGTCTTCATGCAAGGTATGAAGAATTCCCCTTGTCTCTGTATCCTGAATTACATATAAATACTTATGATTTTTTTTAATTACCTAGAAAATTGATATTAATAATTAAAAAAAATAAAATCTTAGTTCTGCAATGCTTAAAATTTAATCTTGTATTAGTCCATTATAGGGTAAAAGACATAAGATTTCTTAGGAATGCCTGGGAGTATATCTTTAAACTTGAAAGGATATTGGTATAGTCAACCCTCTATAAGTGTAAATTATTGAGGAATATGCACTTATAGATGTTTAAATTTGAACTTTATCTAAATTTTACTATACTGATCAACCAGAACAACTTAGTCTATAGAAATAACTTATATACAAGATTATTTTATAGATGATTAATTTACAGACAAGCTTTTTTATAAATTCATCTGTGAATTAATCATTTGTAAAACAATCTTGTTTATAAACTATGTTGTTTGTAAAACAATTATCTATAAATGAATGATACCAGTATCATGTAAAGATAAAGATAAATATACTTGGTGATGATAAATATTGTACTAAATAGAATTGCTATTAAATGGCTATAGTAATTTTCTACAGTATAATCACTAGATGAGAGGTGTGAAGTTAGAGCTCTAAAGGTATAAGAAAGAAGAAGGAATATATTAGTTAAAAAAAAAAAAGGTATTATGAAGTGCTTATCTTACATTGGGGAATGTTTGAAGTAATCAATTATCATGTATTTATGTAGAGATCGATTGGAATCAAAACTGAAACTAAATTATGAGACAATTATTAATTACACAGTTCAGTAGCATGAAATAGTAAAGTATAAGCATAGGGTGTGGCGACCTAGTGAAGTGGTCAGGTTGTCAACCCCCCAAGTGGTAGGTTGGGTGTTCAAATCCTATCGACAGTGAAAATTTGGATAATCACCTATGTA